ACACTGCTCCAGCCTACTGCTAAGAGTTGTAATATATCTGTGCAAGACCCTGACTACAGGCAGCAGGAGCAACACTTTAGTCTCACCGTTTCAAAGCAACAGGCCAGGCTTCTTCCCCTAGCTAGATATTAACAACCTACCTCAAAAAGGAGTATATTTCATCTGTGTTTCACACATCATTTTTCTTATCTGACTGTGCCTCCCTTTCCCTCCTTTCTGCAGGGGCAAATCAAGGGCCAAGAATATATTAATGGAGCACAGGCACCAGCAGGAGACTCAGGGAAGAGCTTCAGTTTATGGAGCTTCTGCAGACCAGAGCCTGATATGCTGTTACCTGTCAGAATAAGCATGTTTAATTACCTGCATCATATTCAGGCCATGAAGTCATCAGCACTTGTATTTATTCATTCATATAAAGGGCAGAAGCTTTCCAGAGCACTGCTGGTGCCTGCATGTTCCCTCAAGGCCCTTTCTGAGAGAAGCATTTACCATTTTGCAAACATACATTTAAATTAATTACAATGGTTGATCGATTAAATTAAATAAGATGATTAATAGACAGTTGTAGAAATCAGCTCAGGTCAGAGCAAACACATGAAGAAAGTGCTTCACTTGCAATTTGATTTTTTTCACCTCAGATCAATGGTTCTCTGTCATTTGTCATGTGACCCTGCTCTGGCAGGGGGGGTTGGACTAGATGATCTTTCAAGGTCCCTTCCAACCCCTAGGATTCTATGATTCTATGCTTTCTTAGATATAGGGGTTTTAAGCACGTTGTTGGAAAAGTGCATGGATAAAAAGAAGAATCAACTTTATGACTGCACCAGAAAAGACCTGAAAAGCAGGCTTGGGACTGGTTCTGGCAACATACAGCTTGCCAGGGGACAATGCAGAAGTAGGAACTTTGACTGACTAGGAGGTATCCCTGAGGCAAAACAGCAGAACAATATCTTGTCTCTGCCTGGTACCCAGTTGTGTCGTTGTGTGAGCAAGATTTGTCACGTGTGAATTTATGTCAGTTCTGGTCCTAGGCTGCATGGCTCTCTTATTGGAGAAATACTCCTATAAAGATCTGTCAGTGAGAAGGGCAGGCTGGTGAATTAGTGCAATACGTTTTTCCCCTTAGGCATCCTGCTCCTGCATGTGTATTTATCACTCAAATGGAGGCTTTCCCCAGGGAAGTAAAGACCCACAAACAAAACCCTTTTAATCATGGAGTCAGTACCACAATTCAGGCCAGGAGCTGATTTACTGCTGCCAGCTGAGAGTCAGGGCACACAAACAGGTTTTCCTCAGCACAGGCTGGGCATCATGTTTGAAGCCCACATTAACTTTTCAGATGTATATACAGTGCAGTGCTGGGGAATTGGTGGGTGAGGATGCATGTAGGTTATAAAGTCAAAGAACATGGGCATATGAGGCAAGCTGACTCCTAAAGGAGAAAGACATGCTAAAAGGGGAATGGATTGTCAGATTTTCTCCTGTTACTTGTAGAAATATTTTATAGAAACAAAGATTGTTAGCAATTATCTCTCATTTGTGAGCCAACAGACAGCTGAACATGAAGTATGTCTGTGTTCTGTGCTAAATTATTTGTTTTCCTGTCTCTGTCTTGATTCTTTTAAATACTATGGGAAATTGACATTTCCAGTCTATTTACCCTTTGTAAGAGTACTGTATGGCTTTCTGTTAAGCAGGAGTATGTAGTTAGTTTGTACACAGCAAGATAATGCCCTATCTGAAGGGAATAAGATTATTCAGCCAGTCAGGAAAGGGCAGAGCTGAAATGTGAAGTTTCCTGACATAACCCCTTGCAAAATAGAAAAGCGTAGAGGAATACTGCATCAAGGCCAGGCTGGATGAGGCTTGTGCAGCCTGGTCTGCTGTGAGGTGTCCCTGCTCATAGCAGGGAGGTTGGAACTTGATAATCTTTTAAGGTCCCTTCCAACCTTAACCATTCTATGATTCTATGAAAATGTTACTCTGCAAGGCAGGGAAGCAGTGTACTGCTGAAAATGTAATGGATTTTCAGATGCCTTGGCTTAAAAGGATCTGAAGACTTGCGGATTTAAAAATTTAAAATGTTTAATGCAAAAGAGCACTAGCACTCAAAAAAAAAAAAAAAAAAAAAGGCAAAGGTAGAGCACCAATCAAATGTTAAGCACACAAAATAAGTGCTCTGGCCCCTCCTTCTAGGACCCTAACTGAATGGTCATATCTGGAAAGACTTTATGCCCCTACTGCAGTTCATGAGCTTGAAAGTAAATTGAAATAGAAGAAATCTTCAAATGTTTTTGATTTTCTATTTTATTAACCATTCTACTTTTTTGTTGGGTGCTCTGGTCATTAATCTTGCAGGTCACAGAACTTTATTAAAATAATACACCAGGAATATGCTATTAATGATTAATAAAGGCTTTATATATTTCCAATAATTTAATTATAATAAATGCTATTACACTAAATACAAGGTTAATTAGTAAAGATGGGATTGCTGACAGAAAATTTACTGTGATGTTATCCTGCCTTTGGAGGTTCCCATTGGTTAACACTTAAAACCCAACTTGGAATCACAATAGAGTTTTATTACAGGTCCTGCCATTCTCACGTATACTGATTAATTATCTATCATCAACAATGTCACTGGAGTGACTGTTGCTAAAGAGATGACCTGGTGCTGTCTGCACACAGATGTGCTACCAACTCTTGCAGGAGGGGTCAGGAGCTTCATCAGCTCCTTTAGGATCTCTGCATCCCCAGCAGAGGCTAAATAAGCAGAATGCAGTTAGGACAAATCACAGAATCCTAGGGGTTGGAAGGGACTGCGAAAGATCATCCGGTCCAACCCCCCTGCCAGAGCAGGATCACCTAGCACACATCACACAGGAACGTGTCCAGGCGGGTTTTGAAAGTCTCCAGCAAAGGAGATTTCACAATCTCCACAATGCAAAATATCCTTTCAGATGTCCAGTAAGGGTTGGGATGTCAACAGTAGTGCTCTGACAAAGGGAAAAGAAGGACTAGAGGTTTTTCATTTCTGTTGCTTGATGCAGTATATGTTCTAGGTTGAGTGTCTGGGGGGCAGCTTGGCTGCTTTGTGATCTCTGTCACTGATGCAGCAATAGCTTGTCCTAATCAACCTGTTTCTAGTGTGCATGGGGAGGAGCTCCTGTGTTGTGTCAAGGGTATCAATCCAAGAAACCCTGAACAAATGCTGGAAGGAAAGACCTTGTTCCCTGTTAGGGGCAGACACAGCATTGAGAAGCTGCTTGGCAGGGAGTCGCTCTTCCCTGGGTGACGTTAGGGGTAGAGGAAGAATGCTGATTTCTACATGCTAATTAGCCACAGCAGCCTGGGCTTAGGGGCTGCAGACAATAGTGCTGTTGTGAATTAATCCAGTGCACAGAAATGCACGTTTCTCAGCATGCGAGATAACTTAGCAGCCTTTGCTCATCAACAGCCAAAGGGTCCTCTCAGAATGGAATCCCATTCTTAGCTTTATGGAGGTGCAGGAGGGACCAAGGCAGCTCTGCACTGCTAGATTTCTCACTTCAGCTTCCCATCGCTTTTGAGAATTAACTCTTTATATACCTGCCAGTCTTATACAGTGGGATGAGAGAAGCAGCAGTGATGTAGCCTGGGAATCTGCAGGTGCAGTGGTCAAGTCCTTATCCCTGGGGCTTCCAGCACTGCAGAACTGTGGCAGGAGGAGTCTTTAGAGTCAAGCTCTTATGAGTCAAGCTGGCTCACGGAGAACAGACAGAGTCAAGCACTATGCATTTTCCAACTATGTTTATTTGTTTTTTGTAGCCCACTGACACAGCTGGATGTGACAATGGAGCAGATTCTTTTTTCCTGAAAGTGTCTATGTGACATTAAGTCAAGGCTAACACTGTAGTCAAAGGCATTTAGAGAGGGCAGCAGCAGAAGCAATGAGAGGTGTTGGGAGGAGGCTGTACAGCAGAGCAAGAGGGACAGAGGGCACCTTCCCTCCCACTGCCCCAGTGGAGACAGAGTTCAGATATGCATATAATCTTTTTGGTCATCTGTACCAGACAAACACAGCACCATGCAACACAATCTGCAGCTGGAAACGGCTGGAGAGCAGGATAGGGACAGTTACTGCAGTCTGCTTTTTTTGGAAGCTATGTGCCTAGGAAGTGCATCTGCCTGTGGCAGGCAGCAATCTGATGAGTAACCAGGCTGTCAGCAGCTGGGACACAAGCTCCCAAGTGGCATTTGCTTCCTGAAGGGAACCACAACTCTCAGGATGCATATACGGGGATAGACCTCGGAGCCAGATCCACTCTGCTGCATTTCAAATGGAGTTAGAGTGTCTAAAATACTGTGCAAAGAGCCACCTATCTATTTTCTTCACAGAAGGCGTGCTACCGTGGTGTCTCATCAAGTTAAAGTTCTTTCCCAAGGTGCTTTCCCTCCCAGCTCTGGCCTGGAACTGCACCTTCCATGGCAACTTGCTGTCCAGCCCAGCTGAAGGCAGCACCACCTCAAATATAATTTCTCTTCTAAAGGAACATTGGAAGAATACCTTCTGCCGATCACACTATGCTGCTAGCAATCCCACCCACCTGCCTCCCTCCAGCTCAGATCCCACAGAGCCCACCACCCTATGCTGTGTGCTGTATAGCTGCACACAGGTGCAGAGGCTGGGCAGTGGGTACAGGAGGGTGGAACACACACAGGATCACTCCCTTTTACTGTGTTTCACCCAGTCACGGACATTCCAGCACCTCAATACTCCTCTGCCAAGTGGTTCCTTCACCCCAAGCAATTTGCACAGCAGCAGCCAACCCAGAAGTCTCCACGGCGGGGGGCAACTCATGCACCCCGACTTGCAGCTGGGACCTTTGCTCAGCCCTAGAGACGGAGAGAAAGGCTTTGGAAAGGTGGGCTGGCTCCCGCAGCCAGCACCATGCCCTTGTCTCAGTCAGTTACTGTACAAAATGGACAACACACACACATTATTTACAGCCTGTTTTTCACATGATGGAGCAGCTCTTGGCTCGGTCTTTCCTGATCTCTGTGTCACTCAGTAAGTCCGTCCTGCCAGGCATCTGTGATGCCCGCTTCAGTCCCCGTTTGGAGTTGCTGCGCTTCAAGTTCTTGTGGACCCTGTTGACTGAGGCAAGCGTGGTCACATGAAACACATCCCGTACGCTGTTCTCCGAGACCTTGGAGGAGCACTCTGCATAGGCCACTGCCCCAATCTGCCGCGCCAGCGCGCTGCCCTGCCATGTGGAGAGGGGGAGGAAGAAGGAAGAAGGTTAGGACACCAGAGCCAAGTGGGTGTAAGTTGCTGCTGAGCTTCCTCCTACTAGTAGGTCCTGCAGAAAAGTCCCCCCCTTCACCTCCCTGACTCTATGGGAACAGCTGCTCAAACACACCTGCTCATGTGTCACAGGGATGAGGCGCTGCTTGGAAAGCTCCCGGAGTGTGTTCAAGTCTGTTCTCATGTCCAGCTTGCAGCCAACCAGCACAATCTTTGCATTGGGGCAGAACTCCTGAGTTTCTCCTTGCCACTGCAGAAGAGACAAGAGGGAGAAGGTGCTCAGGGGCTGCTGGTGTACGAGACACTTCAAGAGACCCAGCGGCACCTCCACATCAAGATAATTTTGGCAGCAGGCAGCCTGCACAATGGTCAAGGTTGGAACATCAAAGTCTCAGCTTGTTGCTCCCAGCCTTTTTCCAGCCAGGCCATGAGCCCTGTCCAAGACCCCCAAGCCCTGGAGGGAAGGACAAACTTCTGGTCTCTATCACTTCTAGGACATTTCTGGTGTCACAGCCACACAATGTCAAGGACTAACACACCCATAAAAAGAGGATAACACAGTTATTTTGGAGCTGAAATTAAAGCACCCTTATTAACCTGAAGGATGAAAATCTTCAAAGGGATGCTATAGGGTCTGTTCGTACCAGGCAGAGGTCATGGCTCTTTGTAATGACATAGGGCTGCCCCAGCTGTGGAGAGAGGTGTGATCCTCTTGTCACTTGACTGACACCTCAGGGAGCCTCCAATTTGCTGCGCAATCAAGACTTGGCAGAGTGAAGGCACCAACCCACAAAAACACACTTTGTATGAAATGAAGAGCTGCTTGTTTGCATTCTCTCAGATGGCTTCTTTCCTTCAACTGTACATGCTGTACAGGCAGCCCAGGCATCAGAGAGGCAGCAATAATAAAGATTTCCTCTGCTGAACTAGCATTTTTGCCTGAGGCTTGAATAGGGAGTGGTATTTTATTTATTTGCCTGATATCAAAAGCTAAAACCCATTTCAGCTTCACAGTGTCTCAGAAATTTTCCTCACCTCCACAGGCTGCAAGCCTGAACCAATGGAAACAAGGCATCTACTCAGAGGCACTTAAGAAATCCTCTGTGATTTAGGGTTTATTTTAAGTCAATGTATCAAAAAGACATTGCCTAACAGTACACAAAAGCATTTGTGAGGCTGCACAGGGAAGAACTTGCACCGAGCAGTGCGGACTCACATGAAGAGTGTGCAGAGACACACAAATAAATCCCAAGTCCAGCTAATTATTGATGGATTTGCATGTAATTAAGGTATAAGTTATTTGCTTGCATTATTATTCCGTTGACTCCCAAGCTGAGCAGTGAATTCTTTCAGTTCACATGAAACACGCCTCCCTCCACCCAGCACGCTTGGTACCCAGGTCCTGCTTTGGAAACGAACACTGAGCCATTGACCAAGTTATCTGAAGGGTCTTTGTCCCCTCACCAGAACACTTCTGAGACACAGACCCACTTCTCAGCCCTCCCAGCAGCTGAGTAAGAGGACTTGCTTCAGCACGACATTTGGCAAAATGTGAAGAGGCCAAGAGGGCAGTCAGTACCATGTGACTTGTTCTGACAATGGCCAGTCCAGCCATAGCAGCCTGGGGCTCACTGGGGAAACAGCAACAGGAATCACTATTCTGTAGTGCTTTTCACACCTCAGTGTTTCAGAGAGCTTCACAAATGAGATGCCAGCCAAGGCTTGCCTCTGGGACGGGATGCAGCCACCAGTGAGCTCCCTGCAGCTTTGCAGCACAGCAGTGAGAGCTCACTGAAACCACGGCTCCCAGAATTTCATGGAAAGCAAGAGTGAATAGCCAGGATCAAGAAATGTCAGCAGCCAAGAGACCATTGACCCTCTCCCCTGAGCAGCATCCCAAGTTGCTGAACTTCAGCCACCTTGGAGGAAAGCCTCACGTGTGAACCTCTCCCTGGATGCCACCTCCTTCCCCAGACTGTGGCAGGCAAGGACCTGCCAGGAGGCCAAACAGCAGTGCTGCACAGCAGACTGCAGCCCTGGGGCTCTCCAGAACCTGCCAGATGGAAATACCTGCTCTGCTGAACGGTGCTAACCTGCAGGCTGAAAGCTCTCAGCTGCTGACACAGAGCACGGCCAGCCAGCTCCGCCAGGGCAGGTGGTGCCCACGGCCCTGCATGTTACCCAGTCCAGCGGTGCTGTGCTGGCTCATTGCATTCATCCACAGGCTCGAAATTCAGTGCCACAGCTCATTATTCTTGTTGTCAAGCGGTACGGAATTGATTGCTGTCTTTCTTACTGTGCAGATGCTGAACTGAAGGGGCAGCCAAAAAACTGAACTCTCTACTTGCATGGAAACAGGCACCAGGGGCCACCTCTCCACTGCTGCAAACAAACCATAGCACACTCACTGGTGGTTATGCTAATGAGAGGTGCTCAATGCTTTATAAGGTCTTTATGAAAAACAGAAGAAATGGCCTACATTTCTCTCCATCCTCACATTCATATGTGTGCATATACACAGCCCCCACACACATGCTGCAAGCTACCATGAGCTACACCATTCACTGGGCTCCTTTCAAATGGAAATATCTTGCTTCCTGAACTGACCACATAAAGATCAGTAGCAGCCAATAATGCTCATCTGAGCATTCAAACTCCAGCCAAGTCCTGGCCAGAGAGCCAGAGCTTTTAGCCTCAGTGGCAACCTCAGGGCACAGGGATCCCAGGGCCACTCGAGGACCCATCTCACCAGCTGGAAGGCACGTGGGCACTCACCTTCTTGAGCACACTGTCCAGGGTCTCTGGGCGGCTGATGTCAAAGCAGATGAGCACAGCGTCCGAGTCTGGGTAGGCCAAGGGACGGACATTATCATAATATGCTGAGCCTGCAGAGAGGAGCAGGAGGAGAACAGTGAGCAGAAAGTCTCATCCCACTGACTGCTTGTTACCCCAGTAGGCAGGCTAGGACCCCCAGTCCCTCTCTGCCAGACAAAGAAATCTAATTCCAGTAAGAACTGGAGACATTGCCACATGATGCAGATTTTTCTGTCAGAGGTAAAGGATGTTGATCCAAGCTTTTGACCAGACACCATTAAAAAAGTTCAGCAGAGTTCAGTTTGCAGAGGTTAAGGCATTGTTTAGGTGTGGAAGTCAGAGGTTTTATCCTTTTGCATCCCTCTCCCTTCCTAGTAAGCATCTGGCAAGTAAGAGGTGGTGGAGTTGTGCTGGCAGGGCATGCTGGCTTACTGCAGAAAAGGGAGCCTGGAAAGGCTGTGAAACTGTAGAGCAGCACATGCCTCTTCACCACTCACGTATGTGTCCTATTACTTGTCATGCTGTTGCTGTACCACGACAGAAAGGTGTGGCTGAGAGAAGACAGGGAATACTGCTGCTATTTTTTACCCACTCTTGCTATCTTTATACAGAAGAGCTTCCTCACATACATTGCAAGCATTTAGATCAGGTACAAAAAGAATTGCCATTTCCTCTGGATTTGTGCTGGAAAAAGTCAGACAGGTTCTTTTTGGTACATAAAAGATGTGACAGGATTTGGTGAACAAGCTATAAACTGGAGGGGATGATTCTGGATTCTGCAGTGAGCAGGCAGAGAGCCCAGCCTGAATCCTGCACAGCTTCTGACACACACACACCCCCCTTTGATGCAAATTTCAGGCATTAAAGGCTTTGTCCCATAATGTTTTTATTTGAAGTGCATTCTGTGTTTGATTGTAGATGCCTCAGTAAACAGTAATGGTGCAATCAGCTCATTGCTACTTAAAAACACTGTTTCGGTTTTATGTTTGGCTTTACAATGGCTTAAACTTCCTGGAGGGATGAGAAGCAGATGTTTATTTATGAAAAGGGGAAGCGGAGACACCAGAGTCCTTGTTGGATCTGCCTCCTCGAAAGATGGATCACCCACCCCGAGGCTGCAGAAACCGGACGCGCTTCCTGCCGAGGCCCCTCGGGACACCCGGGCCGGCACTTTCCCACTCTGTGGGGAGGGTGGAGCACCCAGCCCGGGTGTCAGGTGGCTCCTCGATGAAGTTCAGCACCTGATGAATTATGGATGATGGAAGCTTATATTTCCGGGAGGATGGAAATCTGCCTGGGATAAGAGTGAGAGGAGAATAGGCTGATTCTCCACAGGGGCTCTCTGACTCGTGTCTGCATGGGGGCTCACAACTCATGTACAGCAGAGAGGAACACAGCCCCTCCAGCACAGCTCTGCACACCAGGTGGTTTGCAGACACCCCAGATTCCTCTGCAGGGGGAGCAGACCTGGCCATGACCGCTCCATCCTCCGCCCAGAGCCTACATGTGGCAGACTGGAATCTGAGATGAGCCGTGTGCCCCAAAACCTGCCCAGCTCCGGAGACTGGCCACCCACTCTCCCCCTGACAGCAGTTCACAGCAAGATACCAACAGAAGCCACCCCCCTGGGACCTCCACATCACAGAGCTGAGGGCCTGCTCCAACCAGCACAGCCCCAGCCGTGCTCACGCAGCCCCCACCACATCTGGAGCCTGGAGCAGGCACCCCAGGATTGGATGTGCATTTGGATTCGCAGCTACGGGTATCAGTTACACGTATCTGCAGCTCTTGCAGGCAGCTGCACTGTTGCCAGTCTGCAAGAGCAAAGGCACCTGCACCCCCTGCTCCCAGCAGTGAGAGAACACACAGCCCAGGTCTCTGCCCCTGGAAGGTCACTGGGAACAGAAGCCATTGGGATCCAGCACAGAAGAAACAGACCCAGCCTTCTTCCCAGAGGGACAGTCACACTTCCTGCATGGAAAAGTGCCAGTCCCTGTGTGGCCTTGGCCAGCACTGGGGACAAGGGATGCAGGCTGGTGCACAAGGAGGCACAGTGAGCCAGGATGACCCCAAGTCCCAGGTGTGGAAGTGTCTGACCACTCTTCAGGCTCAAGCTGCTTCAGTTCGGGTGGGCAGAGCTGGCAGTGGTGAGGGACCCTCAGCACACTCCGTGGTCCTACAGCCCAGATGAGTGGCCCAGAAGCTGCTGTCGAAAGCAGCACCAAGCTCAGTAGTGCCAAGCCCCTTTGGACTCAGTTTTCAGTCTCACACCTAGTGTGTGTTTACCAGATGGGATGTGGGATCCAGCACTGAGCTCCGTGCTTGGATTTGCTGGTTCCTTTATCCAAGCCATGCTCTCTCCCCCATGCACACACAGCTCTTTGCCTCCAGACAGGGGCCCCAGCACAGGCCAGAGGAAAGTGTTCCCACACACACCCTCTCCCTGCAGCTCCTTAGTTTTACATAAACACTGCAGATAAATCTGCCCCCTCCCAGCCCAGGAATGCTCCTTTTGTAGAGGTGGTTTTGGCTCCATTCAACACAGCCACAGCAAACTGTATCATAGCAACCTACTGCTGCCCTCAGCCCCAGCCCTCGGCTGTCCCTCTGAACCACCACCATCCCCACCCCAGTGCCAGGAGTTGTGCTCAGACCAGCTGGGACTGCAAGAGGAAAGACCCCTGTGCTGGTGGGAGTAGCAGAAAGGGTGCACTACGTCAAGAACCTCATTTTCTTAATGAGATCAAAATTGCCTTAACTTTCTGCTCCAACTCCAAAGGGCAAGAGCAGTCCCTGGCAGCCTTGCGGGTGGTTCAGCTCCCCAGCTGTGCCAGCTGTGGGTATCAGCCAGTCCTCAGGGCCTTGGCTGCAAAAGCCTCTGCCCCAACACAGGACTGAGTGAGACCAAGAGTCAGTACTGCCCAGCTGCTGTGCTCCAAACGTAGGTAATCTCCAGCTTTATTTGAGATGTCCCTACTACATCAGGAAATTCTGCTTTGGGGGACTATTCTTCTAGCTGTTACATATATTACTCATCCATTGAGTAAGATGCTTTAAAAAACAAAACAAAACAACAACAAAAAATTGAAACACGAAAGCCTCAGTTCCCTCAACTCTAGGTCTTAGGTTTTATTGATTCTGAGCACTTGACACCTTCAAGATATTCCAGCAAGACACCCCAGAGACCCACAGTCTGACACTTCTGAACACACATGCACCCAAGGCTTGTGTGTCTGCAGATCCAGCCTTCCTTTACTGCATGAGTCATTCTCCCACTGGGCACCTAGGTTTGCAAGAAACAGAGCCTATGTGCATCTGTTTGTGATTAAAGAGAAAACTGAAGCAAGCCAAAAACCAGCTTAAAAATAAAATCCATACAGTTGTTGTTTGAAATTCAGGGGTGGACACAGCCACAACTAGCTCCTCTTTCTTATAATCTGGCAGACCCTCAAAATACCTGGCGCTGTGATTCAGGGATGCTGCTCTTCGACAGGGGACTGAAATATGCTGTTTGATCTATACCAACATAGTGTTAATATTCATTTGTTCCTTATTAGCTGTTCTGAGAGATAATGAGCCTCCTCACATGGGCATCCTTCATCCAAGAATAGCACATAACAAACCAGAAAAGCAAATATGCATGCTGAGCCATGATCTGCTCTGCAAGGGGCTCCAGCAACTCCAGCCAGCTTTGGCTTGAAACAGACATGAGCACTGCCAAGATCTGAATTTTTCAGCCTCACACTTGTCTGGGGGGGCTCACTGCAAACTCTCCCCACAGAGCCAACAACACTGCAGTGCATGCTGCTTTCTGCAGGGACAGCCAAGGACATCCTCCACAGAATGAAGCAGAAATTCGTCCCAGCTTTCTTGAGTGCTTCATTGGCCAGTCCAAAGATCTTTGGGTTACCTCCCTGCACAGCAGTGCCAGACTAGCAGCAGCCTTTAGAGACTGCAGAGGATGTCTTCTTGGCCAGAGAAATCCCACTGACAGTTCAGCCAAGCCTTTGTCCACAGAACAAATCTGTCAAAGCAAGACCAAGGTGCAGCTCTCTCGGTATCCTCTCCTTGTGCATGGTAAAAAGCCTGTGCAATTTCTCAGCCAGCACCAGACACAAGAAGGAAGCTACTCCCTCTGCTGCCACAGTGCAAGTCATGCTTCACCAGCTCTGTGGCCCTCCAGGTTTTCCCAAAATGGGGGCTCAGACCCTTTGGAGCTGCTGTGTACCAGAACAAGTGCTCATTTTCTAAGGTTAAGCAGGGCTTTCTGGAGCTGAATTCACAGCTCCAAGTGGCCTTTGGTTGCAGGAAAATTTATCAGAGCAACAGCTTCCTAGACAGAGAGGTCCTGAATGCAGGGACACGGCTACGAGCCCTTTTCTCACCTCCCTAGGCCAGGAGATTCCTCAGCACAGAGCCTGGTATGGGAGCAGGATGCTCAAGTTCAACCACCACATGCTTTCCCCATGTGAGTACTTCAGACCTGCTTAATATTACATGAGGTGCCAGTGAATGTAACAGCTCTCATGATGAGTCATTCCTCTGCCAAGGCAGATAATTATTAAGGTGTTAATAATAATAATATTTTTTTTTATATCACACCTCTAAGACTGAAAATTAAATCTCTGTACAGTTCACAGTGCTGGACAGGAAACAACCCATCCAAGCTGCTCCTGGAAGGGGCTGCAGCTGTTCAGAAAGCTGCCTGGGTGCTGCTGCCCGTGGTAACTGGGAGCCCCCAGCCTGCCCCTCACCCAGCTCAGAGGCCGAGCTCCTTTGCACGGGCTCTTTCAGTGCAGGCAGCCACTTGCATGAGAAGGCACACATCCCTGTTACAGCCTGGCTATTGTCTCCTCCCAGAGTCCATCAAGTGGAAAGCATAAAATGCTGGATTGAAAACCTGGCTCTGAGTGAAAGGCCAGAAGTGGCAGCTGTCCCACACACCCCGGCACAGGGAGGTGAGGCCAGTCTCCATGGTGAGCCTGCAACAACCTCGGCTGGTTTTCTGAGACATCCAAGACACTCCAGAGCTGCCATTTCCTCTGCAGATGCAACAAGAAGGCACAAAGTCACCTTAAAATATTTCCCATTGCTAGAAAAGGGGAAATCAGCCCAGAGAAACAATAGCAGAGTTTACAACGGAGGATGCAGCGGAATTCAGCCTCAGGGAACACAGAAGAGCCGAAGTTAAACAGCCCCAAAGGTCATGCCCAGTCCCTTTATCCTATTGAGGACAGACTGGGAAGGAAATTTTTCTTCCATAGTCCTTTTACTCAACTTAGCTTGACCATCCAATGTCCCAGCCAGCACCTGTGGGAACAGGCAGGTCATGGACCCGACACAGGGGCTCCCTGACTGAGCACACAACGGGCTCAGATCTCCATTTGCAAGGACAAAGCTGCCTGTGATGACAGAACACATCACCGGTGAGGACTGGTAGCTGCTGTGCCCACTGCCACCCCCAACCCCTGCACAGCCCAGGACACACTCCAGCAGAGTCCCCCTGGGATTTCTGTGGATGCATCCTGCTTGCACCATTCCCCCAGACAACCCCTCCTGCAAGGCACCTCGTTGGAGCTGGGCCTCCAGAGCACAGGAACAGGCATCTCCAAGACAAAAGGCTTCAACAAAGGCCTTCTCAGAGACCATCTCTCACTCAGGAGGAACCACGAGCATGGGAAACTCTGCAGACATGGGTCCCTGCCTTGAAGATTTTAGTTGCCTTTATGAAGGCAGAAGGCAATGTTTGAAAAGCAACAGCTCAGTGTGCCTGGAATATAACAGACCGGAACATGCAAATGTCCTCCTCGTTCCCTTTATTGTCAGTGCTGATGGGCTTTATAAACAGGAGACCAGAAAATTAGCCATTGCAGCTTCTCAGACTGCAGTAGCTGCACATCAGGGAGACAATGATTTGAACCATCAGGAGTTCAGAGACCAACTTCATCCTCCCAGTGTGAAATCAGACTCTCTCTCCTGAAAGAAAATCAGAGGATATTTTTGTTTGAAGATTGATGGACTGCAGCAATATTCCTGAGCACCCTGCAGGTCCCTGCTCAGCTGGCACTCAGAGACAGGTTAAGGATCCCTGACCCTGCCTGGTTGATTACTGTCTGGAAGAGAAGGATGATGCAGATCCCACTGATACAAAAACCACATTTTTGACACTAATACAGTGCTCATTAGAGTCCAGCACAGAAGAGTGACAAGTGACAGAGACAGAAATTAAAGCACTGGTGACAGACTCAGAGACACTGGTAATGATGAGCTCTGGTGGCCCCACAGTCCAAACCCCAGACCCGACAACTCCAGCATCACAATTACAAAAGAAAAAGCAATTAGTGACATTGGAGATTAGAGTGAGTGGCACTCAGAGCAAAGCAGACCAACTGAAATAGAGTCAAACAGCTGCCATGGTGCCAAGTCCCACTCCAGCAAAGACCTGGCTGCCCACATATGAAGCACCAGGCTGATA